CAAATCGCTTTTTATTTTTTTTTTTTTTTTTTTTTTTTTTTGCTTGTATCTCTGGTCGTATTGGTTCTGCTTTTCATTCTTGAATAAATACTTTTTATTGCCAAATTATTGTCTGGTTGTCTTTGGTCCTTATTTCTAAGTATTATCTCAAACGATATTGTCAGTTCAGACACTAGGTTGCAGAAAGGCTTTGGTTGAACTCGCGCCTCTGACGTACTGTATTGCGTCATTCAGTAAGCGGCTGGTACGAGAGCACAGGCTCCTCGCGCATCTCGCCCTTTCACTGCCAACCTGCTTAAGACGATTGATTTTGATTTTTACAATCGAAAACCCTTTCCTGCAGCTTCTAAACGATCTCTTACGATTCTGCCCCTGGTAAAAGAAAGCTGAAAACGCGTCGGTCCTCCACTGCAGCAGACGGTCTTCATGATGTCATCGTATTATCATACGGGGAAAGAGCTGGACATGGCGGCGATGACGGAGCCGCTCTGCTTGGAACGAGGTAATTTACTTGGTTCTGTGCATTGTCCCGACAGATGCAAGTGCTGTTTGGGAAATACTTACCAATGAACTGACTGTCACTTGTCTTAATCAGGCCATACTAATGAGCACTGAATGGGGCACTTTGTGCCCACGATGTGAATGAATGGATGTCCCCAGTAGAGAGTGCTCGTGTTTGTATTGCTATGCTTGGAATTCATTGAAAAAAATTATATATATACGTGTCATCTGTGGATAGGGAGAGGCATGGCAGGAAGTAATTTTGCCTATATTTCCATTTTATTTTCTCCTGCTTTAGATGTCTTAATTATTATCGTTGCTGATAGTATTCAATAGTTTGTTTTATTTGTCTTGAGAACACTGGATGATCTGATCTATCATTAATTCGGGCCGTGAACTCCGTTATTGAATTAGACAGTTTTTTAAAAAGTAATTTTTATGGCCATAATTACTTGAAACCACGTTGCTTCCAAAAAAAGGGGGCATAACCAGAACTTTGCATGACTAGTTGACTTTCCATACCAGGTTTACTTTGTTAGAGTATGTATTTTTTTAATGTATACAGTGCTGCTTGAAAGTTTGTGAACCCTTTAGAATTTTCTATATTTCTGCATAAATGTGACCCAAAACCTCGTCAGATTTTCAGTCCTGAAAGTAGACAGAGAACCCAATAAAACAAAAGAGACAAAAATATATACTTTGTATAAAATATCATCAAAATGTCATTTATTTATTCAAGAAAGTGGTCCAGTGTTGCATATCTGTGAGTGGCAAAAGTATGTGAATCTTTGCTTTCAGTATCTGGTGTGACCCCACTTTTGTAGCAATAACTGCAACTAAATGTTTCTTGTAACTGCTGATCAGTCCTGCACAACCGGATGCAGGAATTTTAGCCCATTCCTCAGTACAGAACTGCTTCAACTCTGCCGTCCTTTCCCAGATGCTGCAAAACAGGCCCAAACCATGATGCTATCACCGTCCATCCACAAAACATTTCTCCAATAGCCCTCTGGCTTGTCCACATGATCTTTTAGGAGAGCAGTGGCTTTCTCTTTACAACTCTGCCGTGCACACCATGGTTGTTCAGTGTTCTCCTGATGGTGAACTCATGAACATTATCATTAGCCAATGTGAGAAAGGCATTTAGTTGCTTAGAAATTACCCTGGGGTCCTTTGCAACCTCACAGACTATTATATGTGTCTTGCTTTTGGAGTGATGTTTGTTGGTCGGCCACTCCTGGGGAGGGTAACAGTGGTCTTGAATTTGTACACAATCTCTCCGACTGTGGATTGGTGGAGTCCAAACTCTTTAGAGATGGCTTTGTAACTTTTTCTACCCTGATGAGCAACAGCAACTCTTTTCTGGGGTCCTCAGGGATCTCCTTTGTTTGTGCCATGATTCACTTAATCAGACTGTGATAGATCCCTGTTCTCAAAATAAAACAGCACACACACTGACACCTGATAGTCATCCCACTGATTGAAAACACCTCTGAACAGATGGACTCTAATTTCACCTTCAAATGAACTGCTAATCCTAGAGAGCCACTCACAGATATTTAATATTAGATCATTTTCCTGAATAAATAAATGATAAAGTATATATTTTTGTATCATTTGTTTTACTGGATTCTCTTTGTCAACTTTCAGGACTTTTTGCGAAAATCTGATTGTTTTGGGTCATATTTATGCAGAAATCCGGAAAATTGTAAAGGGTTCAGAAACTTTCAAGCAGCACAGTATTTCTGCAATGTTTTATTTTCTGACAGATGTTTGCAGAGTGATAGAATTGTTGGACAGGCTTCAGAGAAGTGGTGAACTTCCTCCTCCCAAACTCCAGGCTCTACAGAGAGTTTTACAGAGCAAGTTCTGTGCTGCCATCCGAGAGGTACATACAAACATAAGGACGTTACTTCGGTTAAAACTGTTTGCTGGATTCTGTTCATTTGGAACATGTTGCTTTCTTTTCAAAAATATATGATAAAAAACAGTGAAAATATTTACTAATTTGTACCTTTTATGTGCTGATTTTACAGAACACTAATGGAACATAAATAGCTAGGTATAAAATTAAGGTTTGAAGTCAAATGTTGTCACCACGTAAGCACTTACGACAGCACTTTGTCGTCTTCCTCCTCCACACGTGAATGATCTTTTCTCATAGACAGAATTGTGCTGCACTGTTCCTCCTCCTGAATGACTCCCTTTCCTGTCTCTCACTTCAGCCTCCATATCTCACCCCTTGATTTGTAGTAATGGGTTTCAATAGCAGAAGTCCAGTCTGTTCACAACTTGCACAGATATTCTACATGATACTCTTGTCAGACTTGCTCAGTTTTCACATGTCCTTTAGATGTCCTGCTCTTTGCGTAGCTGAGAGATAACAAATTATAGGAAGACAAGATTTTGATCAGTATGTCTACTTTGGCTGCGATTCATTCCACTAAAATTTGCCTTCTACTTCACAAACCTTACATGGGATTAACTAAGAAAACTGCACAATGACTTTCATTATTACATGGCTCTTGATTCTTGTTCAGTGATGGCATTCTGAAAATATTTGTGTGAGTTCTAAAATGTATAATTAGCTATTGTCTCTTTCCTCTCAAAGTAAATATAAATTGTCAACTAAAATCAATGTGTAATGCCCATTTATTTAGTAATCAACATCAGTGTAGTAAGCAAGACAATGGACAGTCACACGGTCATTTTTTTTTACTAAATAAACCCAAAGCCGAAAGGTCTTGTGTGATACTGCGGGGGTTTATTTTGCAATAATGACCAACCGATTGTACATTATCATCTCTTATGAAGTCAATAACAAACATTATTGTTTAAAGACATCAGTAGTTTGCATTAATTGAATTATGTATGCACATGAAAATATGAATCAAACTTTAAGGACATTTCTGCTATTTGAATGTATATTAATTAATGATCTGCAAAGCAGTGTGTAATGTGATAATGTTTGTTAGGTTCATTAATTATAAATGAGTCAAACTAACTGTAAACTACAAATATTTGAGTTGTTAAATGACTGTCCCTTTTCTAGGTCTATGAGCAGCTTTATGATACATTGGACATTGTAGGTGGGCCTGAGGTCCGAGCACAAGCCACTGCAAAGGTACCTTTTTACCCCAAAATTGCCACTGTTGATCAAGAATGATCATATACTGATGAAGACATTTATTTGTTGTCTCTTTCCAGGCCACAGTAGCAGCGTTCGCAGCCAGTGAAGGCCATGCACATCCAAGAGTGGTTGAGCTCCCTAAAACAGACGAGGGGCTTGGGTTCAACATCATGGGTGGAAAAGAGCAAAACTCTCCCATCTACATCTCCAG